GAGTCTCGAACCTGAAAGAGTGCGCATCAGGTATTGCCGCGTTACCGTTTTAGCCACACAGTTTTTCAAAATAATAATATTATATAGTTTTACATATAATAAATAATAAAAACCTGAGGGATATTTAAAATTAATTTTTTGTGTTAAGTTGACCGACATTTTAAATACGGAAATTTGACTCTACCCTTTAAAATTTTTAAATAACTTACAAACAATTAACAAGGTTATAGATAAATATATAAAAGTAAAGTACTGAAGGGATTCAGTAAAGTGAAATAGAAGCATTTTTTAGAATTATGTTGATTGAAATATGACAGTGATTTTAATCATTGTCAGATTAAATGCTTCGATACGCATTTGAAAAATATTACAAAACAACTTTATCATATCTACCAAAAACTACATGTTCTTTAAAATAATTTAGAATGATGTAAATATTCCGTTAATATACAAAGTATAACAAAATCTGCTAGTTTTACCAAAAATTGTATGAATTTTGGTTGTAATGTTCAATATAACTCCTAGAAATCAAGATTTTGGATAGTTTTTCTTTTTTTTATCGTATAATACATTATATTAAATTTTTTGAAACATTATTTAAAATTGAAACGAAAAAAAATATTGATATGATTTTAAGCCCCCAGTACCTTGATTGTACTTTCAAAATAAGTATGTGTTAATAAAGATATTTATCTTAAATATTAATACTGAAAATTATATTTTGATCCAAGCATTATTCAAATTACCAATGGCAAATGGTTGAACAATAAACATTTCAAAATTATCCGTTTAGTTTTCGAAAAATTATTTAAAATTTCAATATAAAGAGAAAACTAAAATATCAACATTGACTGTTTTATCACATCTGTAATTTTTTAGGACATTTCTGTTTATTACCGTTACCGAGGAGAATTTTTAAAACGATGGCGCTGATGCTTTAACTAGATTTGTTTTGTGATCTTTAGACGTAACGTTAAGCAATCGGGTCAGTAAGAATAGGAATATTGACACACAATAAAAAAAACCACAGCAATGTAAAACCAATAGCTTCTTAGCTACACATTGAAGTAAACATTATATTTACTATTTTTAACTCTCAAATAAACAGTTATTAATTATTTTTACATTTTTGTCTGTAGTTTTAAAACTAGTACAAGTGATACACGCAAATACTAATTTTTTAAAAATATTACGACTGCTAGGTAGAACCCGTCCGGGCCGAAAGAAAAACATTCCGGGCCGGGTCTCAAAAAAGATTTAAAGTAGAGTATTAAAAAGTTGTGATTCATGTGACGTAATATCCATCCCTGTTCTATTATAGTTACTATGAAGTAATTTAATCAGCATTTTTTTAACTAATACGAGTGTGATATACAAAAATTAGTCATTTTTTTTATCCATACAATTGAATGTGTATTTATAATATTAGTCATATAAATTTCAATTATAGAGTCCGACAGAAAAAACTTGATTTTAGTGACGTGCAGCTTTAGGTGTGAAAGGGATACAGTAGTGAAGACTACGGCAATGTTTTTGTTGACTTAGCCCGTTTTTATTAAACATATTATTTTAATATTTTTTATCATATATATGTTTTAAAAAATAAACATGTTGTTTCATTGAGTGATAATATCGGATGGCTGCCACGTTTGTCAGATTTAACTCCCTGCGATTTCTTTCTCTAGGGCTATCTTGAAGATAGGGTATACCAACATCGAACCCAACCTTTGGAAGTTCTAAAGGAAGCAATAATTATAATTATAATTATAATCCAAGAAGTCATAGTTATTCAGCCAGTAACTTTGATCAAAATTATGTAAACTGTCGTGAGCGTCTAAAACGTCTGTATCGCCAACGGAGGCCATCACCTAAGTGATATTTTTTCAAAATAAATTAAAACTGCATTATTTATGGATCTTAGTAATATATTCTCTTTTTTTCCCTGTGGATAAGGGATAAGAATACTTCCACGGCCCTTCTGCCGTCGAAGTAGTACGAGGTGTCCTGAACATAACTTAGGCGAATTGTCCCATCTCAGATGTACGAAGGGACAACAGGCGAGGGAGTAAAGTAGTTAAAAACGGAGATGGTTTAAGGAATAAAGTGTTTGATACCAGTCGGGCAACTTGTGCGGTAGCTGTTTCACCAGTCATGTGTACAGGTCTACCCAACGATTGAGTGTCAACGGTATAGGGACATCACCACTTAACTCTCGGCTGGACTCGTGTATAAGGGAAAAATATAGATATAAAGTAAGAATAGGTACTTGGAATGTTGGATCATTAACTGGTAGAAGTAGAGAATTAGTAAAAGTATTGAAGAGGAGGAAGGTTAACATTTGTTGTGTGCAATAAACTAAGTGGAAATGAGAGAAATTAAGAGAAATAGGTGAGGGTTATAAAATAACATACTCAGGTAAGTCTAGTACAAAGAATGGTGTAGGGAAAATAATGGATGAGGAGATAAAAAGTAAAGTGGTAGAAGTAGCTAGGAAAAGTGACAAAATTATAGTCGTAAAATTGATATTCGAGGAAAAAGTGCTGAATGTAATAAGTGCCTATGCATCACATAAATCCGGTGGTGGAAATTGAAAGAGGAAAATGAAAAAGAGTTTGTAAAGACAGTAAAAGAGAGGACGGTGTGGAATGTCGAGGGAGACATAAATGATGTGTGGAATAGATTTGCTAGTTGTGTAAAGAATACTGCAAAGGAGATTATTGATAAGAGTAGGAGTAGAATGCAACAAGGAAACCTGGTGGCTAAATGAAGACGTTCAAAAAATCATAAAAAGTAAAAAAAAGCAATTCAAAGTATGACAGAAGAGCAAAAGAAGAGAAGATTGGATGGAGTATAAACACTTGTGCAAAGAAGCCAAGTGTGCAGTAAGTAAGGCGAAGTTTAAGAGGTATAATGAGTTGTATGATTGGCTAGGAACAAAANAGTAACTTGTGCAAAGAAGCCAAGTGTGCAGTAAGTAAGGCGAAGTTTAAGAGGTATAATGAGTTGTATGATTGGCTAGGAACAAAAGAAGGCGAGAAAGAAATCTATAGACTTCTAAGAGAGAAAAGGACTAAAGATTATCATTATATAAGGTGTATAAAATATGTTGATAATAAGGTACTCTCGAGTGATGATGATGTGAAAAAAAGGTGGAAAGAGTATTTTGAAAAACTATTGAATGAGGAGTACCCAAAAGAGACATTAGAGGATAACTCTTGGAATGAGGTACTGGTAGATTTAATTAGTGAGAAAGATATTTGGGAGGCTGTGGCATCAATGAAAAAGAATAAAGCAGTAGGACCAGATGAAGTGCCCGTAGAAGTATGGAAATTATTAGGCGGTTGAAGGAACTTAGAAGGGAAAATGTCAAATTAATGGAAGAATAGTATTGTGGTGCCGATATATAAAGGTATAGGCGGCATACAGGAGTGTGGAAATTATAGAGGCATAAAGCTTATGAGTCATAGTATGAAAATTTGGGAAAAGGTAATAGATTATAGAATAAGAAATGAGACATCGGTATCTAAAAACCAGTTTGCCTGGTAAATCAACAATGGAGCCAATATTTTGTGTGAGGCAACTAATAGAAAAGTTTAGAGAAAAGAAGAAAACGCTGTGTATGGTATTTATAGATTTGGAGAAAGTGTATGATAGAGTACTGAGAGAGGTTTTAAAATGGTCATTAATGAGGAAAGAAGTCCCGAAAAGGTACATTAATATAGTAGACGATATATACCATGGCAATTGTAACAGGGTAAAAAGCATAAAAGGAGTAATAGAAGGTTTTAGGTTAAAAGTAGAAGTGCACCAAGGTTCTGCTTTAAGCCCATGTTGTTTACTGATGATACAGTGTTAATAGGAGAAAATAAGGAGGAAATTAATCAAAAGCGAGGACGTGTTGGGAGAAGTGAAAAGTTTTAAATATTTAGGCTTAGTTGAGCAAAAGAGCGGTTAGATTGATGAGTAGAGTGATTAGAGAAGATAGGATAAGGAACGAACATATAAGAATGAGTATAGGTGTAGCGTCAACTGTGGATAAGATGAGAGAAAATAGACTTAGATGGTTTGATCATGTTATGAGGAGAGAAGAATCGGAAGCTGTAAGAACAGTTATAGAAGTGAATGTTGAAGGAAGAAGAAGTAGAGGAAGACCACAAATAAGATGAAGGGATGCTATTGAATGTGATATGAGGACAGCTGATATGAGCGTAGATGATGTGGGAGATCGTGTCAAGTGGAAGTTTAGTATAAGGGTGGCTGACCCAAATAGTTGGGATTAAGGCGAAGAAGAAGAAGAGTAATATATTCTTTTTTTGTCTGTCTAATTTCGTTTAGTTTTTATTAGCAATCATAATCAGAGAGATCTTTCTGCTAGATCCTGTAGAACTGAAAAAATAGTCTACTTAAAAAAAAATCAAGATACAAATTAAGTGTTAAAAATAAATAAATATTTAATAATTTATAAACTTTATAACATAGCTATTCGAGGTAGATAAGATGTTTAAAAAAATATTGTTGTTTTATTACTGGAGTAATATAAAGGACAAGTCAGGGGGTAAAATATTGTGAACTCTAAATATAAAATGTGACTAAACCTTAAAACATGTTTAATTTTTGTTATAGAAAAAGTGACTCTTTTGGTCGCGAATAAAATTTTTTCTACTCATATTTATTTAATGGTGAATTTTATTAGCCTCTCTAGTAAAAAAAAGATCATAACAATTGTTAATATCATAACACTACCATCCTTACTATTGATCAATGATGTAATCGAATTAAATATGATATTTCTAAAATAAATGACACATTTTAAATTTTGGGGTGAATAATGGGCTCAAACCAGAAAATAAAATTTTTGAGGGATAAAAAAAAAAGCTTTTTTTACGTATCAATGATATATTCTTTCAAAACGAGATTTTTCAAAACGGAAAATTTAAAAATCAACATTATTTTAAATGTCAATACGAATAAGCAATAAAAATAAAATAAATAATACTTACTCGTATAGCATTTTTAAGCGTTTCAGCCTCTTGCCTCAGTGAATCTAATTCATTCATTGTGTAAGGCTAGGGCCTCCGGTCTCAACCGACACAAATGCTGAAAAAAATAAAAATTTATAATTATTGTGCTATTGATATTTAAAAAAATTCAAATGTTGAACAAAAATAATATTATTGTATTAAAACTGATAATTCTTCATAATTATTTTAATACTTAAAAATTGATTGGCGTTAAACAAACAGCAACCATCTAACACTTAGGATTTTATTTCATAACTATGTTATGAAAAAATGTTATTTTTTAGAGAAATAGTATACAATTTACTATTAGCTTAGTTGTAGTTCATACATACTTATAGGACACTTATTGTTAGTTAAAAATAAAATCTGGTTTTTTAATTTTTGGGTAGATGGTTGTTTTTTGCTATTCAATAAATGATAATAAATTAACCAATAATTCAATCTATAACAATGATAGTGATGATAAAAATTATCATCATTATTAAATTAATTATTTATCAAACAATATTTAATATTTAAATCAAAATAAATGTGTATTATATATTTTAAACGTATTTTTAATACGTTTTTAAACAGATGGTAATATAAACATTATTATGTTTTTTAATTTATCAATTGAAAATAATTGATGGGAGACTATAACCGAGACAAAATTAACTTCCACTATTAAATCACACGTTCAATAAATACTAGGCGACATGTTGGTGTAACACATAGAAGGGTTTAGAAACCGATATGTGACGTCAATTATGTAAAACATAATTACATAGTTGGGCTATTTAAAAATGTAGACATATCTTCTTTATATAACATTTATCACAAAGCATAAAATAGCGTATTAAATCTATTAGAAAAATGTTAATTTTTGTTAAAAATCTTAGTTTGAAAATAAATATGACACTGAATTGGGCGTTTCCAATTTATTGAATTCTTTGCGTATTATGTATAATATAATACACATTGTATATATAGACTTCAAAACAATTCTTTAGTATATTTTCGAAAGTTAGATTAAGGTTTATTTTTGCAAGTTAATATAGCGTAAGGTAGACCGCAATATCTACAATTACTTTATTTTTCAGGAAAACCAAAAATATACCATTTATCGCAACACGTTATTATGAACTATGAATTTTATAATTTTAGCTTTGAAGTAAAAATTAGTTGGCGGTGCTCAGGAAAAAACTCCCTAATTTAAAAATTGTTAGATGTCTTAGATGATTTAAACAAATTATAAGCTTGCATTGGTAAAAAAATATAAGTCATATGCCGGATATATCATATTGTATTATAGCCATTTTATGATTTAGATCAATTTATTAATATATACATTTTTTTTCAAAAATCATTTATGACATATACTTTCCTAAAAATGTATAGATTGGACAGGTTTTTCCAAAGTAATTATTTTAGGAAAACAACACTTATCAATAATAACAGCACAGGGGAATTTTTACATCATTTTAATATAAAACCTCATTTTCTTAAAAATTGTAACTATGATGTTTTAAAGTTTATCTAACGATAGTTTCTATGGCTAGTGATAAAAATATGTAACTACTATTGCAGTCATTACGCATTAAAGCGGAGTATAATTCATAATTCCAAATTATGTTCTTAATTCGTTATCAAAACTCCAATGGAGTTATCTACGGTTTAATTACTATTTTAGGTATGTAATTTTATATTGATTCCTTAATAATTTGTACATCTACATCCAAATAAATAAAGAATATTTACAATCGAAAATGTATTTTCTTATGCACAAAAATTAATCCAATTACATAAATTTGAGCAAAAGAATGTAATTAGTAAGACTTAAGTCGTTATGAATTTGTCGTAATAAATTCCCTTGAGTTTTCGATTCTAAAAGTTACATGATATGATTACGTTAGCTTGAAAATAAAAACAATCCCTGAGGACTATTGTCATTCATGCGGTTAGAAATAACTGAAATAAACGTATTAATAATATAATAAATTAATTAATATGAATGGTCCTGAATTAGGAGTTTAATACTCTCGGAGATATAAAAATATTATTCATACATAGCAATAAAGGGATTAAAATTCAAGTTATTGTGTATGATTAACGTTCACATTCAAGAAACGAAGGAACAGCGCAAGCGCTCGTTCGATCGATCATGAAGTATCATGTCGCGTGCTTTTTACGCTCAGGCTGCCGGCCGGCGTTGTGTCCATGTGTCCGTCAACATATACTAATATGTATATTACAAAAATTGAAAAAATATGTTAAATACTTTATCCATATAGGAAAAATAATGGTTTGGTAGCAAGCCCAAAATAGAAGTCAAAATAATTCAAATTCAATTTGTCATGAAATGTTAAATGAATAGTTTGATGATAAAAATGTCTAAAATGAAATTTTTTATGTATTTGCCATAATGTTTGAAAATAACATATACGTATCCTTTTATAAGAAAAACTAACAGAAATTTAATACGAGTTATCAAAATTAATGACGTGTAGATAGGCAAGATAGATAGATAAGCAAAATAAATAATTTTAGTAAAAAAAGAAATATGAAAATTTGTTGTAGAAATTTCACCATTTAGTTATTATAAATTATAATGACTAAATATCAAAATTTATAATATTTTGTAAACCAACTGACTAAATAGCATAACAAATACGTAGACAGAAAATGTTTAATTTTGAGTTATTTTATGATTTTACATAAATGAAATGATATTTGGAGGGCATTTGCCCCAGCATAAATTTTCAGTACAAATCAGGATTGCTTGAGCTGTACTCATACTGGGTTAAGCCATACCTATCATTTAAATTTAATTTGTAAAACATAGTAAAAATGTAAATAAAAAATTTTTTTCGTTATTTTTTTTTAATATTGTTACACAAACATATTTATAAGAAATCCATAAACGGATAATTGGTAAAATGCTTAAAAAAGCTAGAATAATTTAAGTAACCCATGGGATCAAAACATTATAACTAAAACAAACATCAGGAGTTTATAACATTAGAACCCCTCAATATGTTTGCCCAAATAATTAAATTTATCTCAAATAATTGAATTGAAGAGCAAAAAAAAGTTATTTCCTGGCCCGGTATATATAGCAAATATTATTAAAATATTCTTCAATTTACCCTTATTCATAAAACTACCCTTAAAAGACGGTAATTCATATATTAAATTTTTTTAATTTTAATATATTGATCTTACAATTTAGATATATTTGTTACGCATAATCTTTAAAACACTGTTTTTTTTCAAAATAATTACATTATGTGTTTAAGGGTACCAGACTAGGCTTCCTATGTTCTTTGTATGTATAGGTCTGTAACTTAAGTCAAAGAAAATTTTTACAAAAAAAAAAAAAAAAATTAACGCAAATTATAGCTTTAAGGATATGATATCACCGAGAAACAAATTTTAAGTCACATTCTTTAGATTTTGACTACAAACAGTGAACAACGAATTTAACATCATAAGTATAATAAAGTATATATAAGTACAAGATAAGCTTATAGATATTGAATTTATTAAGAAATGTCTCTAAATAATGTTAAGTAAAACGTTTATTTTATGAGTTCTTCTAAAAGAAAATAACGAATAAGATTGATTGATTTGCAAACAAAATTAAATATATTAATAAAAAAAATAAAATAAATCATCTAAAAGCATTAAAGATAGGAAGAAAAGATAAAATGATTTTTGGTAAACACAAATGTTTTTAAACGCAGTTCAATAGGAACCAGAAAAAAATGTAATCCATGCATAGTTACACCAATATATAACAATATAAAGTGTCACCTTAGACTACTATTAAACATAAACATATGGTATTGAAATGTTTTCTTATTTTCTTTTAATAGGAATATTAAATTGAAGTTGAAATTATAAATCAAATTTCAAATTAGTTAAACAAAATAGCTTTTTGTCTATTCGGGAAAGTTGAGAAAGATGCATTAAGTCCTTTCTTCAAACTAATGGCTATTCAATTTAAGACATCAATGCAACATACAACTTTTACTGTTTCAAGAATTTTTAGGATAATAAAACTGATAGAGATTCTTGTATATAAGTTTCCTAAAAAGCATAATTTTATAACGTCTAATACAGATAGATGAAATTCTCTCTTTCTTAGAAAAGAATATCCGTAATTTTTTCTTAAAATTATCTTACAAAAACATAATTTTAATGATTAATTTGAACTTCCATTTTATTGTATTCATTCATTTAATAATAATGTTAACTACTGAAATTTTTCTAAACTATTAATAAAACAGGTATATTCCATAGACGGGATTTTTCTATTATTCGAAAAATATCAATTTTATTAAAAGGTATTACGAAAATAAATCAATAAGAACAATGTATGGCAGTAAATATTATAATAGCCTAATTATAATATTAGAAATCATTATGCGATATTACTTAAGATTATGGTAGCTTTTCACTCACCTTAGGATAAGACCAAACGGTAAAGGTCAAGACATGAATCTATCAGTCGAATAAGGTGGTTAAGAGCGACTATACGCTCGAAAATTTTTTTATTATCGTTTGTAAAAAAAAGATTCCATGATAAATCTCTGATTTATTACTTATCTTGCAAACACCGGTAACACGTAACTACTGCTCAATACCTTTACAAGCATTGTAGAAAAAAAAAAGACTAAAAAACAATAACAGTACACGAACGACAGTAAACTATTCAAGTCAAGAAAATATACTATTTGATTCACTAGAAACAAAAATTATTCCCCTAGAGGTATTTTAATCAAGTTAATTTTTTTTGTAAAAATTTAATTATTATATTAGAATGTTGCGTTCAATCCTCTACGAACCACGCCCAACACTGTACTAACTGCCTGTCGAGCAAGGATATGAAGTTCCGTCGTAACACGCTAGGGATTTAGGGGAGGCATTCGCAACGCCGATCGCATCACACCACAGTCAATTCCTTTACTTTTTCATCATAGACGCTTATCATACCCAGTTTCAAATTAAAATTTGTTTACGATTTTTGTTATAAACTAATAAAATCAAAATGATTGAATCATAACTTTAGGATCTATTTCAATATATTTTACACATCATTTTAAGAATAAACAAAAATTTTTTTCAATACAAAAAAAATATACTCCTTAGAAAATATTATTACTTATATACCTAGGCGGGAGAAGTAGTGCGTCACAAAATACCTAATAATAAAAATATTAAAGCAGCGCCTCACCTCCAGCCATGATTTTGAAATATTAATATCTCCAAAAATACTGGCTTATAAGTTGTTATTGATCACATAAATTATGTATTGTCATTTCAAAAGTGGATATCTGCTTAAGGAATAAGAGGAGGAAATAGAAATAAATTTGGTTCATGGATTGATTTGGTTCAAGATTTAAGCTTTTGAAAAAAAAAATATTAATTATTTTGTATGTTTGAATATATTTTATGAGGTATAGTTACGGTCGATTACCTTGTATACAAAAACAATAATTTTATTAAGTAACATAAAGTTGTATTCCAAATAAACTGTATGATTAGTTTTTAATGTTCTACGAAATAGATTGAACATTTTTCCAAATGATAATTGATGAATATTTGAGCTTATTGAATTACATATATTGAAGAAAAAAGCAAATCATTTATAACATAAGAAAATTGAGATATATTCGTTAATGACCTATACAATTTTTGTACCATACTCTAGTTACGTCACTTATATATTAGAGGTTAGAAAGTCAGCGATGAGATATAATAGAATTCTTAGGTAATGTTTGTTTATTATAGCATACCCTTTTCCAAGGATATAATTTAATACAGAAAAATTAATATGCATTTGAAATTGCAATAATTTAAAATTACTTCTTTAAAAATAAAAAAAAATATGATGGCAAAAGAAGAGACCCTCAGATAGTTGATAAATCATGTGGCTGTACAGTGGTGGCAAAAAAGCCGCCAGTTGCCGGTGCTACTACCGATTCAAGCGCATTTTGACTGCCACAACACGCATGAGCTTTTAGATTGATCGAGCTCCCCTCCATTAACAAAACTATTGAGAGGGTGGTGGGTGCTGCTGATTACGAAGACGTCTACCACCACCAACTTCACAGCCGGTATAGTACCGGAAACCTGAGAGGCTGCAGAACATATTATGTAATTATTATCATTGATAATACCAGTATTGTCAATGATTTTAAGCGTAACTATGCTTCATGTGTAAAAATAGTATTACCCAAGTATATATTCAACATTAATACGCAATATATGATAATAACAATATATTATAACACGAAATGTTAATACAAATTCAGAAGTAATAAAATAATAACATAAACAATCATATCACTACTCTCAATGAAAAGGAACATGACTACATATTTTTATTTTCACGATTATCACATATTTTGATAAAATATTTTTTATATGTTACCGCAAAACAGCAGTAATTTTCATTTGTCATTAGGCCAGAGATCATATAACAAAACAAATAAAATATAGTGAAGATACGTCGTTTAAAAGTTAAAATAGCTCGCCTGAATAGTCGTAATTATGTTAGTTGTCTTTTATTGTTGAACATAGAGATGTTAAAACTAAACTTTATTTTTCAAAATTCGATATTATTTGCAAATAATTTTGCCACAAATACTAAAGAAATCAATTGTAAATCCAGGAGCATAGGTAATAGGTCTTTATTACTACAAAACTAGAATATTTGAGAAGCTGCATTTTTTGTCCCTAAAAATTATTTTTATATAACAATGAGTATTATTTTCAACATTTTTTATACTTCGAGTTGCCGAATTTTGAAGTTCCCTCATATTTAAGTCAGGATTAAGAAGAGGAGGCGAAAGTCCTGAGCCCCCATATACAATATTATTATCCTAGTCATGAGTAATGACAGTTTTTCTAGTTCTTTTTTTTTTGTTCATCACTTTTTTTAAGTAATACTTCGGAACTTATACAAGTCTAAATATAACCTTACTTACATTGAACTATTAACTGCAATTAAACAATGTAAAGAAATTAATAATTTGTATATTATAATTAAGTTTAGAGAGCATCCTACAAACTATAATAGTATGTGGATAATACTTGAAAGTATATTTCATAATTTTGATGAGTCAGCAATTTTAAATTTTAAGACGCCAATTTTTCCAATTGGGAATTTTATTTTTGGTCATCAAATTTGTTTTTTTAAGAAAAACACTAAAATATATAGTAATAGTTTTTTTTTTTAATTAATCTTGTTTGAAAGTTCTAATTATACAGAATATAAACGTTATGCTTTTACTCTTATCGCCTAGAGTCTAGGCCCTAGACTGTCTGGTTCGGATAACAACAAATTTTATTTTCTTTCTCTATGACTCTTATTTCATATAAATATAAACATTTAATTTCAATAGATTTTTGTGGAGTCGACAATTTTGGTTGGGGGTGTGACTCTCATGAATTATATTCCTTTTAACTGTCAACTTCTTACACTTTTTGGCTTAAATTCTAATTGAAGAAAATTATTGAAAGCTTAGGAATGCTTTATGTAGGCATTTGCCCAAAAAGACATGATTAAAAATGTGGTTTTATTTAAACAGAAAATAAATAAAAACAAAACTTTTAATTTCTCAAAATATACCAATTTTTTAAAAAACTAAACAATTCTCAAAATATGCTCACAATTTTCTATTAAAAATCCTGAAACATATGTACCAAAACCCTTAAAATATTTTCTTTTAAACTAGTACAATATGCTTCATATATGATAAAAATTTGAAGTATCCATTTTTCAATAATATATTTTTAAGTGTGAATTATTAAAACATATACTTAGGTTTGTTGTTATTGCTTTCAAATACTTTTTACAATTTTTGTTTTCTTCTTCATAATTTATGATTATCATAAAAATGTATACAATTGTTATTGTTATAATAATACAGTGATTGAAAAATTGTCAAAATTTTTCTCATAAAGCAAATAAAATATCTAAATCCTAAAAAATCACTCTTATGTTTATAATATATTTTAACATTTTTATTTTTATTTAAAAAATAATTTTGCATAAGGAATTAATAATTTTTTACTTTTTATAAAATATCACTCTTAACCAGGGTTATTCTTATGAAAAAGCAATATACATTTATTATTTTAAGTTTTTCAAGCTTAAAATTTCAATCAGTATAGTAAATATTTCTATATGTTAGAAAATGAGAAATATTTAAAACACTCTATAAAATTATTTTATTTAATTGTCTTATTAAATAACAATATTCATTTTATTCAATATTGAACACTTATTTAGCAATATTCCTATAAAATTCTTAAATATTTTTCAATATAATCAAGGAAATTTCTTTTTTCTGAAAGCTAAAAATATTGTTTAAGTACATAAAGGTTCAAACTTTTTTTTTTGTACTAGGAAATAACTGCTTAATTTCTTTTTTAAGTTGGTGAGATGTAGATATTTGGTGAGGGTACATGTCTGAGTTCATAGCTGCCTCAGACACTTCTTTTCATCATTATTTATCTATTATTAGTGAAAATATAAGGAAATAGATAATGAGGCAAGATAAGAAATTATAGCTTAAAAAAAACCTTTTATATAAGTCCTTTTAAATAAATTTTTATAATATATCATATAAATCTGACAATAATTTTATTAAGGGTTCAATGATTAAAAAGTAATTTAATCTAAATTTATACAAATTATAAGTAAATAATTTAGGCTTATGGAAATGAATAATATTTATGTTTAAAATGTAATATACATTTTAACTATTAATAAATTATAAATACATTAGTAACTGAATATCTCTTAAGTAAAATAGAACTTCAACTACGAATAAATGTTAGAAGCAAGAATTGTTGTTCATAGTAGTTACACCAAAAATTGAATTTTAAATGGCACAAAATCTAAAAAAAAATGTTTCACATACAAAAAAAAAAAAAAGAAATTGTCTTGAAAAATTTAATAACAACATCATTAAAATTTAATTAAAAAAATTAATAAATAAGTAAATATGTCCAATAAAATAAAGTCCTTAAGGATGCTGCAACTTCTTAATGAATCTCAACTTTGAACTATAAATATATTTTAACAATATCGTATCACTGAGATACGATAGGTATCTAAGAGTAAAAAGAAGACTAAAAAAAACAGTCAATTTGATTAAATTTCTTAATTAAATCAGTTAATTAGTAAAAATATTAATAAAAATAATAAAAAACCCAGCACAGTGGGGTGGCGACACAGTGGGGTCGTGGCATAGGTGGGTCTAGTATAGATGATATCTGACAGTGATTAAAATCACTATCATAAAAAACGCTTCGATGCAAATCTGTAGATAGTGTTTAATTAAAAAAAAAAAAAATTTGTTAAAATAGCATATTTTTGAATACGGTAGTTATTTGCGCATAGAAGATAGGTCGTCGGGAAAAATTTTTTTTTTTATTTTATAGTACATAAAATAAGTTTTAATTTGATATATGTTTAAAGGACGCAGTATTTCCAGAACATTTTCAAAAATTAAGTTGAAAAAGCTATTTTTTGTAAAAAAGTTACTATTTTAAATCCCCCCAGTGAGCAGAATAAGTGTTAGATTTTCAAAAAAAATTATATCAAATGAAAGGGAAATATCTAAGGTTTTAGTAGAAAAAAAAATTTATGTTGATTTGTTTATTTTTCAAAAAGTTATGGAAGTTTTAAGAAAAAAAAGTGAAAAAATAACAAAATTTACCGATTTTTAAATTTGTAATTTTTTTGGATATTTCCCCCAATTTCGGGGAACGAGGGAATTTTTTTCAATTTTTAAGGGTAATGTCTCCAACTAGATACGATTTGTGATCTTCGACGTACTTTTG